CGATAATTGAACTTCCTGTGCGATGAACTTTATTCGCAATATTAGAGGCTCGAACAAGACTGGAAACACTTTGTGGTTAGAGATAATTATCCGAGCCCTGATCGAAATTAGTCTCATACCTTCGTATATAGAAAGACCCGAGGCTTCCAAAAAAAAATNAAAAAAAAAAAAAAAAAAAAAATCTACCAATAAGGAGTTTGTATGGAGAAGGATTCCAAAATATTTCGGTCTTGGGCGGTGATATAAAAATAAAGTTGACATTTGGTTTGTTATCAGGTTTTCTTTTTCTTTGCCCTTAAGAATTCACTTTGAAGGCCTAACGCTTCCTAATGAAGCTGCCAATTAAACATTGTTAATAATCCAAATTGCTTTAGAAACAACTTTCTGCATATGAGACTTTTTTAAATTTTTGCATCCCCTGCACAAACTAGATATCATCTTTCTTTCTGTTTGATGTAGATGAAAAAAAAAAAAAAAAAAAAGCAATCGAAACCTATACATCTAATTCTAAAACCTAATTACTTTATTGCATCCTTATCACACGCACGCTTCTCATTTCTTTCCCATAAAATACACATTCATCTCTCTCTACCTTTTCCCTATTATTCAGTATTCACACCTTATAGCTACACTCATATCTGCCATTTCTTTTACACAGAATATCTGCTATTTCGATTTGAGAGAGACAGAAAGAGATAGACCAACACATCAACTCAAATATCTGACCACACCTTGAGGGGTCAGGAGACCCTATTCATCAACTTTAATTTTTGTTTTTTGTTTTAATATTATTAACCCAAAAGCTTTCTTCACAATTTGTTGTACTTGGTGAAAGAATCATCTATTGCTTGCTGTCTACTGTCTATATATTCCCATCACTTTTTAACTTAGAAACTAGAATTTTCTAATATCAACCTTTATGGAAAGAGCCTTATCAATCAATTACATATCAAACTCCCTCTTTACACCATTTAATTAACATTTGAATTAGCTTTTTTGATTTGTAAAAATGAAGCAATGAATCCCGATTCATTTCTTTGAATACCTACTTGGATTAATTAGGCTTTATGAAACCATTATTCCTGTAAAGACTTACCTAAACGCACCAGTTTTTTTTTACTTAAAAAAAACATTGATGGAGCACATGGGATGGTGTATCTCTCTTGGATTAATATATGTTTAATCTAAAGAATGTATATAAAAAATTGAGTATTGGTAGATTAGATCCTTGCCCTACAAAATGATTTTATTCTTCTAAGCATGCATTTGCATTCCTCTCTTATAATTAATCACTCAAATATTATATTATATTATCATCATAATCGCCACTCACCCAATTCAAATTCATTTCCTCTTCTTTGCTTAAAAAAATGATCCTATTCTTCTTCTTCTCTCTAACGTCGAACTGATGTCAAGTCTCATATTTATGCATGTGCTTCGCTAACCCTGAACCTGAAAAATAAAATAAAAAAATATTGTACACTACATGTGATTTCAAATATGTGGTCTATTTGTATGTGTGCAGGCAAGAGCAAATATTTGGGTACTTGATTTTGATTTCCTATATGGGACAATAACTTGATGCTACCCAATTCCATTAACGCCTACGGAACCGTCACAACTATAATCAAACTTTATAGGTCATATTCTTTTACATAAAAATATAGAGTAACCAACATTTTTCCACCCAAAGTTTATATTTCATTAATACCCAAAATATACTTCATTTTCTCAGTTGACGTTCGGCAAGTTACTAGGAGCCAGATAAGAAGAGTTTTGTAGAGTGGAGGCTGGTGGATCGAATGGTGGTGACTGATTGAATACTCAGCCATCGGAATTAATTGAAAATTAGCTAAGAATAGGAAACCCTAGCTTTTTGGTGGTTGACAATAAAAAAGAAATCAAGTGTCGAAGTGAGAAGGCTTTTGTAAAGAGGACACCGAAGGTTTAAAGGGTGGTGATGAAGAGAATTTTCGCTGTCGAAATCGGTCAAAATCGGTTTTGGGTAGTGACAGAATATTAACTTTGGGTGGAAAAGTAGTATTTTGAAACTTTTTGGGTGGGAAATGTCATTAAGGCAAACCTTAGGTGGGAAAAGTCGCTTACTCTAAAAATATATTAAATATATGATGGGTTCCTTTCGAGAAAAAGGAAGGCAATTCCCACCAGAAAATGAGCATGGTTGCTTTTCTAGATTAGTTTGTGATGTGTTCATAATATGATTGAAGTTGAAGAAAGTGTCACTGTTAGGGCATGCATATGGTTTGAATTCAGCGTGAAAATTAACATATCATAAAAAGAAATCGATACCATGAGCTTGACGAAGTTCCCCTTGCTAAAGGTAATATCCGATTGAATGAGCTTGATGGGGTAACCATTCATGATTAGAGAACAAGGATGACGACAAAAAGAGCTCATGGAGGACAGTGATGCGAGTGGCGATGACACTCTCCCACCCGGCTCGAGTTTGCATTCTTCTGGGTTTATGTCACCTTTTAAGCCTTTCTTATTGGAGGTGCCGCGCTTTGATGGCACGGACCCGCAACTCATGACTTTCTCCTCGAAACTGAAAGTCATTTCTCAAGTGGGCCCCATCGATCGTTTTGCTGATTATATCATGATTGTTGCCTACCACCAGTCTACGGTTGACCTTCCCTTAGTCCCTCTCGGTCATAATAACAACAATCCTCCACCACTACTGACAGCCCTCACCAAGCCTCCCACGGGTTCTGATCTCACTCCGGTGTCGTTGCCAGGCATCGTGTTGGCTCACGACAAGGGAACAAATAACTTCTTTACTGTGTTGATTTTTGACCCCAATGGAACTTTTGCCGTCTCTTTACTGTTTGGACCTCATTTGCGCCAAATGATTTCTCATGGTGCAGTACCTCGCAACCTTGAGGACCAGGTTGAACCAACGAGGAAGGCAATGTTAGGATTATTTTAGAATTATGATTATTATGTTAAGTTTTTTATAATTATCATTTATAATTATGCTATTATTTTATTAGCATAAAATTATGATTATCTTATTATCTTTTTTATAATTAAGATATAATATCTTATTAGATTTGAATTAGACAATTAGAGTCATTTTGAGAGTCATTGGAGTAAGGCTATATAATAACCTAAATCAAATCTAGATTGTGGTTATCAACGAAGAATTTTGTCAATTAATCTTTCTGTCTCTTTGTCTTTGAGGTCTCTGTTTCTTATATAAATAGATTCTATCCCAAACTCTATCAATATGTGATTGATGAGTGACTATTCGTGGTTAGAGAAACAAAAACTTGACTCATCAAAGTTTGAGGAAGCATGAAAAAGCAAATTCACAAGATTGAAGAAGACAAGCCAGCAATGTTGCCCACTAAATCTAAAGCTGGCCTGCTGAGTTGATTCTTATACAAGACAGTTACGTTCTTTAAATTGATTTTGGGTATGAAAGATGTTGCAACTTGTAAAATGGAGTTTTCTGGGTTGATGTTGATTATTATAAATTTATAATATAAATTATACTCAAAATAATCCACCCAGTTGACCACTTACATTACTATAACCGACCAAATGATTATGACTAAAAGTCTTATAAACCATTTATATTTATATATTTTCGATCATTAATATAGACCGAAATTAAAGGGCACCCTCGCATGTTAGCTAGGTCAATCAATCAAGGCTCCCTTCAAATAAAAAATTGTTTTTTGAATAATATTAGAGTTTTAATCACGTGGGCAACCTGAGAAATTAGCCGTTAATGGGCAAACTATTGCTTTAATTGACACAAAACAAGGAAGAGGACAAAACTGATAATCAATTTCACAGTACGTTTGTTTACATTTCCGTTGTATCATGAGAGTTGATAGTTTAAATCAAGAATTGAAAATTTATTTGAAATGGAAAAGACCAGGCGATGCATACTTATACACTGGAATGAATGAATGGAAAAAAACATAAGCTCGAGTTTTCCAAAATATTATTAGGGAATAAGCCTCTTACACTGATAATTTTACTTGAAAAATTAATAGAAGCGTGTAAACACTTATGATGATAAAAAAAAAAAAAAATGGTCGAAGATGTAAAAAAATAAAAAAAGTTTTCATGACTAACTTAGTTTGAATCTCCACAAGTTCTAATAGTGATGAACAATAAAAAACTTATTTGATTGTCAGTTTTATAGTCGAGAGATTAATTAAAATGTACGATAAACTTTGTGCAGACATATGCCGATGGATATTAATAATAAATAAGAAGTAAAAAGTAAAAAACTTGGGAAGATGAATGAAGGGCACGTGAGTACACCAAACACTTTGCCTAAAAGTAGGTGATTTTATTGCTTATTGCCCTTCATTTATCGAAACTCTCTCTTCTTTCTTCTTCCATTAATTAAATTTAAAGCCTCCTCCTCAGTCTTACTTTTCAACTGCATTCACTTGATCCTCTTCTCTTCCCACCCACCCACCAACAATTGGGGATTATGGCAAGAGTAGTAAGAACATGAAAAAGATATTTTTAATCAAACCTGCAGTGGAAAACAAGAGGTTATGATTGATTATTAAGAAGAGCATAATAATAGCGAAAATGATCTCCATCTCTTTTACTGAAATATTTCCAAGAAAATGCCATTCAACAAAGGATTAGCATGGTACTTAGGATGCTAATTAAATGATTATGTTATGCCTTCCCCTTATGAAACAGCTACTTGTTGTGACTGAGAAAATAGGCGTTTAATAAACGTTAGCACAGAAGAAAGATGAATGTGGGATTATGATTGTGTGGCTAAGCTGTCTACTTTATTCATCATTGTTGGGTCCCATCGTCAGTAAACATTAGAAAAAAGTTTTACTTGATTACATTTACTTCATCTTTAATTAAGGATTTACATGGAAATTATATTTAAGAAATAAACCCAGAATTAACAAAATCTGAAAAAATGGGGTCCATACTCATAATAGCTATAAATACGTAACCTCTCCTTACAAAGCAAACTCCGTCTTCTACTAAAACCACTGCTCACTCTTCTCTCTTTCTCCTTTTTTTTCATTTCACAAACACAAACAGTCTAAACATGGTTGACGTCGACCGGAGAATGACCGGTCTCAACCCGGCTCATGTAGCTGGCTTACGCCGTTTATCAGCCCGTGCAGCTGCTCCATCCGCTGCAACTTCTCTTCCTGTACGCAACGGTCTTCTTTCATTCTCTTCCTTGGCTGATAAAGTTATAACCCATTTAAAGAACTCCGGAATCCCCGTCCAGCCTGGTCTATCCGACGCTGAGTTTGCACGAGCCGAAGCAGAGTTTGGTTTCGCCTTCCCCCCTGACCTCCGCGCCGTCCTCTCCGCTGGCTTGCCTTTGGGTCCTGGATTCCCTGACTGGCGCGCTGCCGGCTCCGCTCGCCTCCACCTTCGCGCGTCGCTTGATCTCCCGATCGCTGCTATTTGTTTCCAAATTGCTCGTAACGCACTTTGGTCCAAGTCTTGGGGCCCCAGGCCCGCTGACCCGGAGAAGGCTTTACGTGTCGCGAGAAATGCGCTCAAAAGAGCCCCACTGTTAATACCTATTTTCAACCATTGCTACATTCCTTGTAACCCTTCTTTAGCTGGTAACCCGATATTTTTTGTTGATGAGAATCGGATTTTTTGTTGTGGTTTGGATCTATCCGACTTTTTCGAACGCGAGTCTTTGTTTCGGAGTTCTGAGGCTGACCCGCAGGTTCTTAAAAAGCAGAGATCAGTTAGTGAAAAGACAGCTGGATCATCTTCAAATTTTTCGCGGAGAAGTTTGGATACGGGTCTCGGGTCGAGGACTCCCAGATGGGTCGAGTTCTGGAGTGACGCAGCTATTGATCGACGCCGTAGAAACTCATCATCATCGTCTTCTTCGTCGCCGGAGAGATTTTTCGATATGCCCAGATCCGAAGTACCGAAGTGGGTTGCAGAGTACATTAATCAAATCGGGTCGGTTCTGAGAGAAGGCGGGTGGAGCGAGTCCGATATTGTGGATATAGTAAACGTTTCAGCTTCTGGGTTTTTTGAAGGTGAGATGGTTCTGTTGGACAATCAATCGGTTTTGGATGCTTTGCTTTTGAAAGCGGATCGGTTCTCAGATTCGCTCCGAAAATCAGGTTGGAGCTCCGAGGAGGTTTCGGATGCTTTTGGCTTTGATTTTCGACCGGAAAAGGAAAGAAAACCAACAAAGAAGCTGTCGCCTGAACTGGTGGAAAGAATTGGGAAACTGGCTGAGTCAGTTTCCCGGTCGTAGTACGGCATCGAGAGATTCTTTTCTATTTTGTTTTTACAATTTTAAGGTCTCGGGGTTTGTTTTTTTTTTAATTTTTCCTTTTGGAGTAAAAAATAGAAATTGAAAATATATATGGGGAAACGCGTTGTACTATGAAACAAAGCATATAAGAGGGGGTTTATAATTACATGATTATATATTTATAAAATATAAATAAATTTATTAAATACATGTATGTATATTGTATAGCTGTTTCCTTTTTTAAATTAGTTTTGTTGTATATTTGTTAGTAATTGATTAAAATTAAAAAATATAAATATGAGTATAGGGATAGGCTCAGCTTTCTAAACGGGCACCGGCGCACGTGTGCATCTTCTCTTGATTGTTGAATAAAAAGAGGTAAATTGAGGGTCCCGATGTTGGGAGGTGAGCTCGAATCAAAACAATTGCCACGGTGCGCTGGGTCTGGGACACCTTAATTATCATCATCACATTCGCTGATGCCCCATTGCCAACCAAATAAGCATTCCAAACGTTGTCGTTTAGATTCCAGTTGGGTTGTTTCTGGGAAAATGTTATGAAATTTGAAAGCACGCGGGGTGGGGTGGTGGCGGTAAGTGGAAGGGAAAATGTCTGAGAAAATCTCTTCTTTTCAGGATATTTTGTGATTTTGATTTAAATTTTCTTGGAATTTGAAAAGAGTTTTGCAGAGAAAATGCTGACTGACACACAAATCTTCTCACCGTTTAGCATTCAAGAGACATAACAACGAGGTGAATAGTAGGGCCGAGCCCGAGGGCGTATTTTTTTGGGTGGGAAAGGAGTTTCGCGTTCATATACGAAATTACAAGTGTGAAAAGCTGGCAAGAATCTTGTAATTTTTGGTAAAGTTTGGGGTGACGATAAGATACGGAAAATACTGGGACCACGTGAAGTGGGTCCTTTTTTATATCAGAAGAGCTTCATTTCTTTCACACCTTTTCTTCTCTTTTACCAAATTCAAATTTCTGTACATACATGCTTGTTTTTTTTCATAATATATATCTATATAGTTCTCCTTTCTTATATGAGAAGAGCTTTATTTCTTTCACACCTTTTCTTCTTCTCTTTTACCAAATCAAACACTGCTTTAAATTTGTGTACATACATGCTTGTTTTTTTCTCATAATATATATATATAGTTCTCCTTTTTTATATGGGAAGAGCTTCATTTCTTTCACACCTTTTTTTCTTTCCTTTTACCAAATCAAACACTGCTTCAAATTTGTGTACATACATGCTTGTTTTTTTTCATAATATATATACCTGTATGTACACTAATTTGAAGCAGTGTTTGATTTGGTAAAAGAGAAGAAGACAAGGTGTGAAAGAAATGAAGCTCTTCTCATACAAAAAAGGAGAACTATATATATATATATATAGTTCTGTTTTCCGGAGAAGGTTAATGGCATGGTTGGAATGGATACAAGGTAATAATTTAAAAAAAAAAAAAAAAAAAAGAGAGGGACCACCGTGAAGTAGGGTCCGTACATGAGGTTGGGATGGGAATGGAACAGGAAGAGTGTGTACTTAAGGTTGTTTTGCTTGTTTGGTTAGTGATGCAAAATTTGTAACAGTTTGAGGGAACATATTGTGGGATGTCCACATGTGAAGGAGCCTGAGTACTGTACGTTTTAATGAGATTTAATTGGATCAATACATTTCATTTCAATTTCAATGAGACTCCATTCACTGCTTCATTATTTCATTCACATTTTTATGTCTACACATTCATCCAACTATTGCCTTGTTCCCTTCCCTTTTGTTCATCGGCATTAGTAAACATCACTTCCTATATATATTTACATTTTTTTTTTTATCACTAGGAGTGTTCAGACCAATTTACGTGTCCTTCAACTAATCTTCCAGAGATTTGTAACTGTTAACCGAATAAAAACCCTAATGATCACCCTTATTAGGGAGGACTCTAACTCAAGAATTCATAAACCCTCTTATATTCACTTCTTTATTGCTTCATAAGTATGGTGGTTGGATTTCTACTCAAAGTTTTAATTTAATTTAATTGTTAATAAAATATATTCACCAATCAATTATCAAATTTGCCCAAATCTGTGATAATATACAGCAATGATAGGAATATGATATATCCACAGCAAGAGTTGGTGCCAATTCCTTTTCCATACAGCAAATCCCAATTGGATATGGCAATTACACTACTTATTGAACAACCCACAACCAATTGAATTTGGTTGTTTCATGATACTTAATAATAGGTTTAATGAACAGATAAAAGATGGCGTCAGATTTTGGAGAAGAAGAAGATGCAATTAATAGAGCGTTGGATAGCACCTGCTCTCTCTCTCCCCCGGATACTTTCCCTTTAAGTAGTTCGCAATAATTGTAAGTTGACGAGTAAAAGTTACAAAGTACACATTAATTGCTCCAACGGTCACTGCCACCATCACCTCCACCACCTGAACCGACCGTTACTTATTCACGTGTCACCCTCACCGCCAATTCATCTTCTTCACGTGTCACACCTCTCCACTTCCAAATTTTTACAAAATCAAAATACCAAGATGGATCATGTCCCTGTTGTTTGTCATTTGAATTTATTAACAGTATGGGCTCACCCCTCTTTCACTACTTGTTTGTTATGTCTACAGTTTCCAAGACAATCTCATAGTCAAATAATATAACATCATAAAGTTTGGTGATGAAATATTAATCAAAGTTTTGTTTTCTGTCTGTTTGAGAGGGAGAGAGTGGTGCCCTCTATTGTCCTCCAGAAGAGACAATTTACACTTGACTTTTCAATCAAATGGAAGTTAAAATTGGGATCGTAACCCACCAACAGGTTTGAACCAATTTAGAGTAATATGAAACCAAAAACAGTAAACACACACAAGTAAAGAAAAAGAATAATACGCACGATTTTACCCTAATTTACCTAATTAAAAGGTTACATCCAGTAGAATCAATATTATTGAAATACTAACTCATATCTTTCATTATAATAAATGTTGTTTGTCATATGATTTGTAGTCACACTCATACAAGAGAAAAATATGTTTATATACTAACTTTAAAAGAATAAAACATTATATTACAAGAATCACTTTTCCTAAGCCCACCCAAATAATAATTAATTACTTAGAGAAATCATTCTTCATGGAATGGACTCCCGAATGCGTCTGCGTGGTTCGTTATTGTTGAAGTGGTAGACAACTTAAAAAAAGTCGATACTAGGGTAGGGATTGTTATATTTTGGAGTATATTGAAATTGATGCTGTTACGTAAAAGTCTTCTTCATTTGGTACATTATTGTAGGCCCTCCTGTTAATTTGTCAATGGTGTCATGTGCTGTGTGCAGTTTTCTTGGTCTTTTTCATGTGGTTTAGAATAATCTGTTATTCAGAGAAATAGTATTCAATTCGAGATGGAGTTTTAGTTTTGAAAATAAGATGTGGATTCAACTGGTTTGGAATAATAATCAGAGGTATGAATGAAAAGAGCCAAATTATAATGGAAATTTCTGTCAGTCTTCTGATAGCTTAGTTATATTGCCGCATACACCATCTCTGGTCCCAAAAACAAAAGAAAAAAAGAAAATTTATGAGCTTACAGTATGCCTTTATTTTATCTAGATTTTTATGGTAATGTAGAGGACAAGTTACATGTGCATGACAAGATCACTGTTGCTATGACGTATTGGATCAGAGTTGTCAGTAAATTATTGCTTAACCTAACCAATATTATGTGGCCTGAGGAGTTGAGGCTTCTATCTTCTTTATCTTTTCTTCTTTGGTTTACTAAAGACAAGCATGAAGCAACAGGCAAGACCCCAAGATCTAGTTACCAGTGAATCATTATCAACAAGCCTGCTCCCATGGGCTTAGGGAAACGTTTTGGTTGTTTGGTTTATCAGACAGTACTTGATGTTATTCTCTTTTTTTAATACACTGGACAGAGAAACAAACATAAGATTAGTAAATATCTTTTCCCTTTTCTTGAATTGAAAAAAAAAAAAAAAAATGGAAATTACACATTAAATGTTTATGTTCCAGTTCTGACAGAAGCAAAGCTGGAGAATCAAGTATGACATTTCTTGTGTTATGTTCTCCACTCTGATCCTATATTGTAAAAGATGCAGCTGATTTGCATACTGATTCACTGCATCCAAATAAATGCTATACAATTCCTGTTAACTCCAAAAATTTACCAACATTGTTTACACTGCCTGAAGCATTTCACCCTCTTCCTTCTTCTCTTCAATCTTTGGAGGAGATCTCAATACCTTAACCCGAAAGGCCGCCTGCATATATTATTACTATGAAGCTCAGATGAAGAAGAATATTTCAAAAGAACAGGAAAAAAAAAAAAAAAAAAAAAACACAATCAGTTATTGTAATATAAATTGTGTTCACTATTTTATTTACATTTTAGACTTATTAAGACTCAAGATAAAATAACTAACACTATCTATCTCTAACCTCAAAAAGAAGCTATCGGAATTAATTTAGTAATGCAGTTAAATTGAATGCCAGTTCCTACCCTTTTATCAGAGCCAAACTCAATAACATCTGTTGCATGGAATCGAGTTGGAAAGTTAGGAGATACGCGGTACCTCCTCCCCTCGTTACTGCACATATAAAGAGTAAAGTCTCAGAGAAGAGCTCCATCAATTTAAGCAGATATTTAGACCCTGCCACTTTCAACTTACTCAGTTATATAAGTGCCATGTTCACTCCGCAAATCGATCAGGAAGAAAGCACCGTCTTTATAGCTGATCCGAGCATGCATTTTAGACACCTGATATGGAAATATTAGACGGAAAGAAGTCCTTGTTACTTAACATCAAACACCATAACCTCAGGAATTATGTACATTCCACATAAACTAAAGCAAACAGGTGAATAAAAAGGCTTCTAATCACCTGGGGGGAAGGTATCACTAGTGACATTCCTGAAAAATTCTGAGGAGTTTCACACCTGCAGTCACAATACCATATCAAAAATAGACTTTGATCTCAATCCAACTGAATAACCCAAAGATTGCCATCTACATTTATAATATAAATTAATAGCTCAAATGCATACCCAATTATGCAGGGTTGGTCCTCATTCCTACTCAAACAAATAGGTTGTGAAACAACTGTCTCACTTCCTGATGGCAATAGAAACCACCTACAAAAGTGAACAAGATAGTAAGAATATGATGATTGTATTATTTTTACATACATTAGAAAAGGTCTGAGAGGCAATATACACAAATATAAGGTTTATTGTACGCACTCTCCATTAACAGCACGCTCAAGTGCATCATCGTCACGAAACCATCTCTGCAACTGATCACTCGCCTAAAGAAATTACTGACCAGATATTAGCTTTGAAAAAATAAAAAGTTATGCAACTCCTATTGAAAGTTCAAAAGTATCTCTAAAATTGTCAATACAAAAGAATATTAAAAAAGCAACATACCTTGTCTGAGAGCCTGCAACATATTGACCTGCCTTCAAGTTTTGAGCTGTGAAGAAATATGATAGATATTGTTACTTCTGCTAAATAAATTGATAAGATAGAAGGTACAAAAACTGTAAAATATATACATGTTTAACAACAGTTCATCCTTGCCCTATACTTTAATCTTTTAACCAAAGAACTTATCAGCTTAATTCAAGTATTTTTCCACAGGATCTATAGAATCCTTATATTTATGACAATTCTTTCCCTAAGTTAAATGCTTTAGTATCCTGTTCTTTTCCTTGGACCAGAGTTCTAAGTCCTTTTAAATGCATCGACCATGTAAAGAGAAAATGTGCAAGAGCACTTCATCACGCACACACCAAAGCAAAGAAATAAAACCTGTATAACTGCATGTGCAAAATTTCTAGTTCACTTGATTTTCATTAATGAAAGGATAGTACAAAAATCAAGCCAAAAGCTCATAAGTGAAGAGTAACAGAATTTGCCAGATCTAACCTGTTTCCACCTAAGACCCAGCTAAGCATTAAGGGCATTGCTTTGTCAATGAAAAATCTTCCACCAACTCTTCCTGGATGTGGTATTCGAAACTTTGTCAAAAACTGCAAAGCATGCCACGATTTTAATATCCCAAATTTGGAAAGCATTAAAGAGGGAAACAAATTTGTTAGAGAAAAAGAATTCATTTAATATGGAAGAGGAAAAATAAGGAAAGAACTTAGGACTTATGATTTTCGTTTCAAGATGTTTCAAAACTTAATAACTATATATTTTTCTTGGTCAATGATTTAAAAGAAAATACATTCTAAGAATAATTTTTGACTTTACATTCTGAATTCTATCCACAGTAAAAAGTATTTTCACTTTAAACATCTTTTAATTAAATTCTTTTCAAAGAAAATGATTTGTAATTTGAATTATAGCTTTATCTGATATTTGTGCAAATCTAAATGTTAAATGAATTCTATCTTTACAGTTCAAATGGATTGAATCTTGTGTAGGAAAAAGTTTAATATTATTCTGGCTCACTATCCATTGTTTTGTATTGATATTGTTGCAGTACCGTTACTGTTACTGTTTTCAGTTCGATTATTATTACTGTTATGATTGGATGGTTTATTGATCCTCTATTATGATTTGACAAGATTATTTATCATGTATTTTGGTCAAGTAATTTGCAATACAAGGTGACACTAAGAGACTTGGACTATTTCGTTTCTTTTGTTCTGATACATTTAAAGAATTTATAAATTATTTTTATTTGAATTAATTTCATGTATTGCATGAATTATTGACTTGTCTAAAATGCAAACGTTTATATAGTAAATGGTTTGACAAATTCTTATCATAATTCCCTGTTACATTCATCCTAGACTCCAACAAGTAAGCTCACTGTTATGGGTTGGATACAAATGAAGCTATTTAGAGACTTTGGACTTTGTTCCTATGATTACAAAATTTATGTTATGCTTCTTTTATCAATATCTATGGATTTTGAAGTTGAACTAGACTTAATTTGTGTTATGCTAGTTATCATAAGAAGTTGACATGGAATTTTCATTGTCCTGTTACACATTTTACTTTGTTAAATAATGAAGAGACTTTATTTCATGAATTGATTTACTAGTAATCATATTTTTTCACCTATTGATATTTTGATGTAATGATTTGATGATGAGTAGGCATTCCCATTTGGCATGTCTTTGCCACAAGTTGAATTTTGGGTGTTTCATCTATAGTGCTAGAGCTTATACCATTATATAATTGATGTATAAAGAGCAAATAGCCTACCGAGAGAGGTCCAAGTCCAACACCTAAATAGGCCTTGTAAGTTGAAGCCATCAATGCAGCCATTCTTGCCATTCCGTGGACAACGGCAACTCGCAGTCTCCTGGCACTCTCGTAGCTGCATACATAAATCGAAAGTCAATTTTAAAGTACTCCGAATAGTTACAATGGACAAGTGAAATGACTGCATATAATGCCAAGGGCAAAATCGAGGACCATCATTCAGAGAATTCCATCGAATATATTTCTGGTAAAAAAAATATTAAGTTATTGATAACTAAGACCCTATTAAAGAACAACTTTTAAGTATAAGTTGATTCATTATTTCATATACTGGAACCAGCCACAGAAAACTCATCTATATGCCTGATTTTCCCAAAGATAGAATAAAAATCCAGTCCTTTAAATTGGCTTTCTTTTTCCCTTCCAATTTTTTCCCGGTCTTGTTAACTCATTCTACTCTTTCTTCTTCTCCTTTCTTTCCCCCATCCTTTTTAGGTTATCTGAGAATCACTTATTACCTCTTTAAAGCAGAAACAACATCAATAGGAGTTCCTGATTCAGTGCTTTGTTTCCATGCTTTATCAAGCTCCACTGCTAGTTGATAACTGTCCTGTAACACATAATAAATATTTCAGTTAGGTTTCAGCTCACTCATGAAGCGGTTCTGTCAATAAAAAGTGTCTATGTTCAGAGTTTTTCATCTCAAAAAGGCTTCAAAGATCAAATTTTTATGTCAGAACGTATTAAGCTTCAAAACAAGAGCAATGTCTAAATATTGATTGGATTTACAATGCATGACATTTTCAGAGAAGGAATTTGCATGTGCAGAAATTCATGAAAAATATCTTACTGCATTGCATGATAAAAGGAGACGCTTCCAACTTTAGTACAAAAAATCAGCATATGATTTCCAATTTATAAGGGAAACCTAATTTAAATGTTATCTAAAATAAAATAAAAAATAAAGGATCTAATGATATCTTCAGCCAAATTATCAACCAAAAGTGTTTGTTCAGTGAGAAAGGGAATAAAAAAGATAAATGTGAGTAATAGAAAATTCCTACACCACCCCTATGAAAAAATAAATTAGTTTTACCTCTAATACAACTACTTTTTTCCTTCTTTTTCTCTTTAAATAAAAAACTAATTTATTATTAAGATCTTGAATTCATCTCTATTCTACTAAAGAATACTCATTTCTTTACAATCTAAGATGTCCTTTACTCCCATCCATACATCAATTGCTTTGTTTGTCAACTCTCGTTTTTTCCTTTCTCTGCCATTCAGATCAAACTACACCGTTTTGAGGGATTAACTTTTCCCTTTTCAAAATTATGTGACTCTACAAATAAACACTTTTCCCTTTTCAAAAATTTTCAAGCTAGATGCCTCATTTGTAAACCTTTTTTCTTCTCCAAGTGCCTTACTCTTCAAATCTGATTGTTCTTTCAAGCTAGGTGTCTCATTTGTCAACTCTACTAAGGATGTAAAAAAGCAAAATAACCAAATTTATATGGTAAAATAATCTTGAGGAAACTCCATAACATCAAATCTTAGAAATCAACATTCATTAAAATAAAATAAGTTTGGAAAGATAATAAAATAAATGTAACTAGAGTTGATTTTCCTATTTTAATTCATAATCAGGAGGAGGATTCTTGTTTCACCCAAAACAGAGTTTCTGAATTAGGTGCCCAACTAAAAAGAATGATCAGATTTATGAGTAATTAACATCTATTAGAAAGCTCACAGTTCACAAGCCATTATGTCTCCATTCTTTCACACAGCAAAACTCAATAACATTTCTTTGTGATGAGACCTCCCATTAGTAAAATCTATCAATATAAAGGGCATAAAAGGCATAAGGGCAGTAGGATGCTGGTTGTGAGTGGACATGTGTGCTAGTGGGAGTTGGTTGGAAAATATTCACGTGATGGGGAATCAAGTTGTTAGTGGGAGGAATATTTTTAGTTACGGAATTAGTATATAAAGGGAGGGGAGTTTAGGGAAGGGGAGGATATTGTTCAAAGGGTCATTAAGGGAGGTCCCCAGCTCCTCGAACTGCTGGGAATTATCTGTTCTTTTGGTTTGTTGTTGTTTCCATTTTGTTCTGTTAAAATCTCATTTCTATTCAATCAATACAATACGGTTTTAATTCTAGAATTGGACTGCCATTTCTGCGTTTTGGACTGTTTTGTGGCTGGGTTTGTTTTAAATTGACAGAGGTTCTCATCAATGAGTTCGAGGAGTTGGGGACCTCCCTTAATGACCCTTTGAACAATATCCTCCCCTTCCCTAAACTCCCCTCCCTTTATATACTAATTCCTTAACTAAAAATATTCCTCCCACTAACAACTTGATTCCCCATCACGTGAATATTTTCCAACCAACTCCCACTAGCACACATGTCCACTCACAACCAGCATCCTACTGCCCTTATGCCTTTTATGCCCTTTATATTGATAGATTTTACTAATGGGAGGTCTCATCACTTTGTCTAGTCAACATAAATTTCTTGTTATGCCCCCGGAACAGACTACATATATATGAAAAAATATACAAAATAGGAAACAAACAAAACTTCTATTGCTTATATGATAACGGGAACCACTTTTAGCATGGTAAGAAATATTGATAACAGTATAATTTCTGTCAACAGTCATAAAAGGGTATAGAAAATAATCAAACTAAAGCAAGGTATACCTCAATGGCCATGCATCCGCCTTGCCCCATATTTGGCTGCATGGCATGGACAGAGTCCCCAAGCAAAGTAACACGACCCTTTCCCCAAGTGAATACAGGCGTCCTGTCATAAATGTCACGTCGAAGAATTGCTTCTTCATCTGTAGCAACTATCAAATCTATCACGTTATCACACCACCCCTCAAATATTTTCAGCAACCTTTCCTTTTTACCTGTCAAAATATGAAACAGAGGTGTATTCATACAATGAAGAATCACTGCATTCAACATTTAAATCCTTGTCTCTGATTTTTTATTCTCTGAAAAAGAAGATTTTCTTGATGCCATCTGTTCAATTATGGCTGAATCCTACTTCAAATAATGCATCTTCAATAACTGGAAATGTGATTCAGTTAAAAAAGGAGTATACATTAAAAGTTCTTTCAGGGTTCATCTTACTCCACATATGGATACAGAATACTACAACACATTTATCAATTACCATGAAAATTAGCCGGACATATAACAATTCTTTTTTTTGAAGAAAATATAAATTTTTGCGAGCCCCTCTTTGTCTAGACCATCAATTACTGAAAATCCTTATGTACTGCATCTGGTAAATCATCCCAGACCATTTCACTTTCATCTCTTTCAGTTTCAGGATTTCTTGGTTAATCCCTTATCATTTAGTTGATGGAATCATATTTCAACAGCTATTTTAAATATTAATTTTGTTTTCCTTCCAAGAAAATTATAAATCAATTATATGATATATGCGCATTATACACAGAGTCACACGCTAATTGCCTGCATTTCTCAGTAGAATTTCGGAAAACGCATTGTAAGAATATCTTAAGATTTGGATGAGAATCTACCTCTTGGGCCATCCACACCACCAGGTGGTTCGTTGTGAAACGCATACCACTGCATTTTTCCAGCCCCCACATCAGAAGAAACAAAGTATTGTTTGTGTCCCAAAAATACTCGATATCTTCAGAATAGAAGGTCACATGAGTATACACATAATGCAGCTAAACACATATTTAAGAATAAAGAAATATATGAAGAATATAAGGAAAGAAAGAAAGCATAACCCACATTTCAAAAGATAGCCTAAGGAATACAATGAAGAAAGAAAGGTAACACCAAGTATTTAAAACATACCCCACAGTCTCGATATCAACAGGCACAAAATCTGCAATACCAGTATAACAGGTGTAGCCTGAGTAGGTGGCCTCCTTTGGCCCAAATAAGTTTTTCCTCACCTATACACAAGAAAACAATTTTGTAAGATTTCCAAGATGAAGAAGAAAATCACAATGAATACCAATTTGACAACAACTGTCCATCCGCAATGGGAAAAAGAAAAACTATTATCATATATCTTAGGTACAATCATACCTTCGACCATATTCCATCAGCTCCAACTAAAAGATCACCTTCACAGCACTGTCCATTTTCAAGCACTACAGTAACCTAAGCTCGTAAATAACATAAGTACAAAAGCATAAAATGTCATCATCAAGGAATTCAAAAGAGCTACCACAAAAAAGCAGATTATCAAATGGATGATCTCCAACCAATCAGCAGCTACATTACCTTATCTCCATTATCCTCAAAGTTAACAACATTACTGTCGTTCAAAATAATTTCCTCCCCAACTGCACGAGCGAGGATTTGTTGCAAAGTCATTCGGCTGATTACCCTTGTCACTGGAAGCCCCCTTTCTGCTGCAGGAGTGAAAGTATCAAACTTGATGTACCTGATAACCATGAAGTATTCAATGTGATTAGATGCAAATAATTAACATTTCCCCACAGAAACAGTCAATATAACATCCTATGTGGACTCTAGATAACGACAAAGTCTATAATACCACGGTGGTACGGCTGACGTGGTACCACAAGACAATGCATGTATACCAACTAGTTATTACATTTAATGACTACAAATCATAATTAATTTAAAGATACAGGAGAGAGAAAAACTTCAGAAGTGGCATAAATTCACTGGAGGGTGGTAATACCACGTTGTATCCTAATATCACTTGCCATTAACAGGTAATTAGGTGTATTTGGTCCATTAATCAAGTTCCAACTTTATTGTTTGGGAAATAAACCTCATCATTCTCTAGCCAACAATTGATCTCATTTGGAAGTACAATTACTAGAATAAATCAAATGAACAACATGGCCAATTCTTAAACTTAAATAGACTTGACAGCACTAGTTGCAGCTTTTTAGTTTTTTTCCCAGTTTTACTTGGCTACTAGGTCTTGTATGGTTGGATTTTCTATTACCAAAGATTTCTGACACACTAATTGTTTTCCCACAGCCAAGAATCATTCCACTGCCATCAAATATGGAGGTCTCCAAACGTATTCAATACATCATGTTATCTTTGTTTACTTCAATTAGTGTATTTTAATATTTGATTCAAAAACCTATAGTAAAACAAACTCAACAGTTCTACTGATCCTAGACTCCCACAAAGTTTGTTGGGTACAACCAAATAAGGTATATAAACAGCTAATGTTTCTATCAAAATGACCTTTTTGATTCATTTTTGTATTTCCGGGTTTTCCAGATAAAAGGAATCCTCGAAATCATGGACAAAAAACACCTTGAATAAGTTCTTTGCCCAAATAAACCTCAAATAATTAATGGTCTAAATTATCACTCAACAACTAAAAAGTAAAAACCCAACTATAAGAGGAATGTTGAGTCCTACTACACACCTAAGCTTTTGCACTGTATATACTTTTCATTGACAGACTTCCACCATGAAGTGCAGAACAACATTAGAACCATCTAAATGGCTTTAAACTGATCAATCAAACACAAGTCCATCAAATTCAGTGGAGATATATCTCGTAAGGATTAGAAATTAGATAATCAAACACGTACTCCGTGCATGTTTCAAACAAACCACTATAAAATCAAAATGCAACCAAGTTAAGAAGCAAAAATGACATACCAATTACCAGAAACTCCATCAACCAATCCATTAATTCTATCACCAGTAACACACCCAGCTCTCATAACTTCCTCAGCAACATCCAAATCAATAGCCTCCAAAGCAGCCAATGCATTGCTTTGTATCTGAATTGGGCCCCTGTACTGACCTTCTCCTCTTATAGCACTCACATCTTTCTCAAACACAACTACTTCAAATCCCTTCTTCTTAGCAGCCAAAGCAAAAACCAGCCCCCCAATCCCACCCCCAGCAACTAAAATCTTCAACTTCTTCTTTGTCTGCAACCCAGCAGCTTCACTATCCTTTGTTGGAGACTCAGTCACTGTAGCTCTCACCTGTGCAAGTTTGTTTCTTTTTCCACTTGGGTTGGTTCTCAAGTGGTAGTTATAGTTATAGTTAATATAACGTGAGAATTCTGCTGAAGAGTCTTTATATGGCAAGTGGGTTCTTGAGAAAAGTATTGTGGAAGGATTCAGTGAGTTGTAGAACACAGCTGAAGCCATTCTTGTTTCAGAAATACAGATACCTGTGGCCAACTTTAGTTATAACTTTTTTTCTAACATAAGGAGATATATGTGGGGTTACCGGGTTAGAGAAAATATAAGGCAGTCCAGGAAATCGAAGCAACAAATTCCTACACCAATCATGGTGCTTGTGGTGCCATGTGTCAGTGGCATGAATTCACACTTCACATTTGATGGTGCCAATTGCCAAACGAGAAATATCTTATTGACAGATGTTTATGTCTCTGTGGTTCTCCTGTCCTGTCACCAATGTTAAGCCCAGGCGTAGAGTCGCAGTTAGATCTGATACGGTATAGTTGAGTCACTCAACTCGTGCAGATTTCAATAAAAATAAATACTTTAATTCGTATTACAAATACATTCTTATTTGATACCAAACTACGAGGTTGTCTTGTAATAAAAATACTCCAATTTTTTTTTCGTTTTAATCAAAAACTTGAATATGATCATCTTAATAGGTTATAGTCCCAAAATATGTTGTTGATAGCAGATCATTCATTAACAGATATAGACACATGGAATTGGGGTAGGTATATGTGCTTTAATTTGACGATAAGATTAGAATTTAAAGAGCAGCAGCATCCACTAAGCAGATGATAGTGGGTTTGATAATTGATTAATTACGTGATTAGTGTTATTTGCCATGTGGCGTTTGAAAATTTTATTAGCACGAAACAGTTGATTTGTATCCCAAAAAACATAAAGGAATAAATGTTCAAGTAGTGGTACTGGTAGTGCATAGCAGGCGGTGGATTAACATTGTCGTCTGTGCAGTCACGAGTGGGAGGACAAGTCGGTGGAGGTCAACTTTATAAAGTTTTCAGTATCTCTTCTCTCCAATACCATTGCCCATTGGTTGTTGTTGGAGCCAACGCAGTTTTGGATATCTCTCCAATACCATTGGTTATTGGTGGGCCTACTCGGGTCAGCATTTAACTATGGTCATTGTCACAGTCACAGACGTGGCTAGTTTTAGGGGCATAAATAGCATAACGTACTCTAATTTCTTCATTCTTTCCTTCTTGTTATAAATCGGTGTTTGATTTTTTTTTTTTTTTTAAGAAATAGATTTAATTTTAGGTTAAATATTACATATTTTTTTGTGAATAAAAAAAACTAAATTTAAGTTGTCTTTGTATTACATCATTATTAATTATATCATAAAGGAAGGAGGGTGCTATGGACAATCTTGCACCCCATTTCTAAAATAAATAGTATATATATTTCTTTCTCTTTTTTAAATAGATCCACGGTTGTATCTACCACTTATCAAAATAGAAAATATCTATAATTGAAGGTATAGATCCAAGTGAAATAGTTCGTATTATCTATTAGAGTTTTTAAGAATGATATATATTGAAATCTTTAATTAATTATGATTATGCAAAATATTTAATATGAAAAGTTTTTATGATGTGTTTGGTTAAGAGAATATTATATTACCAAAAACGTTATATTTATGGAAAGATAGATTACCGAGAATGTCTAGGGAAATATGTTTGGTTGATTGAAATAAATTAGCAGATATATTATATTATTATGTTTGGTTAGGAGGAATAAATTGATAGGTATGTTATACAAATTATTAAATTGCCCTCATTTTAAATATTAATATAATATTATTTTTTGAATAGTTTTTTTAACCCCTTACATTTCAGATTTAGCTAAAATACCACAGCAATAAAAAAAGTTTGGAACTTAAAAAAAACATCCTCACTCACCCTAAGTCACTGTTGGTCGCTAGTCACCATTGTCGACAGTCGACGAAATAGCGCACGACCAATCAGATCTGGTCAACCGTGCACCAATATGGACGCTTCCAACCATATCAATGGCCAAGAAATAGCAGATGGTCGTGGATCTGGCCGAAAAAGACCAGATCTATTATGGTTGTTTTCGACCAGATCAATGATCGTTAATGGTCAGATCTACGACCATATCGACGCACGACAACCATTTCTGTCAACTTTCGGTGACTCCCAGCAACGGACGGCGATGGTTGGCTAGCTGTCGGCGGTGCGGTGGTTGGCCAACTGTTGGAGGTGGTGGCTAGCGAGCGGCGGTAGTCCTGAGTGACCTGCAATTTGTTTTAAATATAAGGACATTATTGACCAAAAACTTAATTAAATAGGGAAAAAATTGTAATGATAGATTCATGTAAATTAATTTCAAATTAAAGGCATTATTGTCCAATAATTTTAATAAGGGGTAAAATTGTAACAAAAATAAGATTATCAAATAATCTTAAATTACTTAAAAAAATTGAGGTAATCAGATTACCTCCTATATTACCAACAATAATTACTATTAGTTTTGGAAGATGATTAGAATCTTATATTACTTGACAACTAAACATGGTAATTAAATAATATAAGATGACATTACTTGAGTAATCTCCTATTACCTCCAATCAAAAGCACCCTAAAGGTGAGGGAAAAAAATAAATAAATAAATGGTCCATAGTTGAGCATACGTGTGAAATCCCTTGTCTCGGAGAGAATGAGTTGGGCCTGGAGTTCATTGTGAGAAGTTAGAAAGGCTTGAAAAGATCCATCCTCTCGCTATTTGTTTTAAGTTTTAAATCCAATCCACACCACGTAATTTAATTTATTTTGATCAAACACTTAACATGAATTCACCACAAATTACAACAATGATAGTGATTTCAATTTAAAATCAAATTCCTTTTCAATAGCCTCACTATCATACAAATTTATTGAAGAAAAATCTTAAACTTATTAATTCAAAAATGTTTTTACAAATATAAAAATAAAAGAAAATTGTGTATGTATGGTGATGCATGTTGATGACATGTGGACATGGGAACTTCCATGTGGAGATGCTATGCTGATTATTAAAAAAGATTTTATTATGAGGTTGATTTTAGCTTTGGCCAAACGACATCCTCCCACCCAAACTTTGCCTTAAAGACATTTTACTATCCAAAAGTTTGAAAATGACAAACACCTACCTTCCGTCAAGTTCTATTAGTGAATTTCGTCTCCTAACAAGATATAGTAACAGAAAAGACTAAAATGCCTTTAAAAGTTTGACTTCATATTTTTTTATTAATTTATATCAAGTCAACTAATTCAATTACATAAATACCCACCTCCTTTAAATTAAATTACTGGTTTGAATGGGTTGAGTTGACACAACACAAAAAGATGGTTGGGGTTTTTTATCAAACAGTTGGGGACAGGTGGTTGTGGTGGGCGAACAGCGAGGGTGGAGGTTGCTGGCGGCATGTGGTGGTTGCGGGTTGTCTTAAAAACAAATCAAACACTCCAAATCAACAACAATCAACCTCCAATCCCAACTATAAATCAAAATCCAATCTCCAACCCTAACTCAAAACAATTAACCAAATCAAACCTTAAAACGCTTTTTGTTTTGTATGTACAAAACAAAATATAGAAGAAGAAAAGAACAAAATACAAAGAAGAAAAGCACAAAGAAAGCTCAACTTTTATCAAAATGTGCCAATGAAGAAGATGAGGATGAAGTGGAAGTAGCAGTCAATATGGGCAGTGATTGATGATGACAAGTACATTTAGGATTGTGAACAACCCTTTTCCCTGTAACGTCGAGTTTTGAGCAAAATACACAATATCGCCTGCGAAATTCTTCGGTTTGCGTTTCATCGAAATCATCGTTGTCTTCATCTGTGTTTTTGTCTTCGAAATCTTCCTCTACTTCGATTCTTCTTTGATGAGATGTCTTGTACATCAACCCAAACATTGGGATCTCCATTAGAAATTTGTCGATGATATTATCGTTGTACCACTGGTTTACTTTGTCTGGAAACATCAGGGATGCAACAACTACTGCTGAACCTATCCCAAATGCAATTCCAATAACTATGAACTGTAAACAAATTCTTTACTTAAAGTTGGTGCTGAACATTCTGACTTGCTGGAATTGTGCAATTATTTGTCAAAGAAGGGCCATATAATCCTTCATTACCCACAAAAGATGTTGATGAAAATAATTTGGAGCTGAGTACCTGATGGTATCTTTCCCACAAAGTGATTATTTGAGAGATTCGGGAATGAGAGGAAATTTAGGCTTGCAAGTTGTAAAGGGATTTCCCCACTCAAGTCGTTTACTGAGAGGTCGAAGGACTCCAACTGTTGCAAGTTGATTTAAAAAAAATCATATAAATTCATTAATCTCTCTTCTCCATCTACTAATTGGAAGCTTCTACTATTCAATTCCCAACTACTCCATCATGTCTTCCAATTCAACTCTCTGACTTATAATTAACATAATAAATTTTAAAAACAATTGAGGCACTTGGATGGGTAAGAAGGCGCAAATCCGACGGCTGGGGCTGGTTGTTGGCAGGCATATGGCTAGAAAGGGTGGGGAGAGTGGAAGGGTTGTTGACTAGGAGATGTCGGCTGTCGGAAAGGCAGCGAAATTCTGGCGGAGATATCGAGAGTAGAGGAAAGGGAGATGAAGAAGAAGAAGAAGATGGGAGGAGGAGGGGACATGAGAAGAAGAAGGCTTTTTTTCAAGATTTTTCGGCTGATTGCAAAATTATCATACTGTCCTTTATCAGACAGAATTCACTAACAGAACCTAACAGAAGGTGGGTCTTTGTCATTTCCAAACTTTTTGGGTAGTAAATTGTCTTTAAGGCAAAGTTTGGGTGGGACGATGTCGTTCGACATTTTAGCTTAAAGAAGAAGAAACAATGAATATAGGGTAGCTGTTGTACAGGTTGAACGTTAGTTCCATTTCCCAATAAACAAACAGCAGTTGAAGGGATAAAATTTATAAACGAACATGAGTGTAGGTGCATCTGCAAATGCAACTTCATGGAAAGTATCAAGTTTCTTCCATGAATGAATACTGAACATGATTTTTGTCTCACCTCAACATTTTACTTCAATTAAATAAGAAACCACAACAGCCTTGCATGGTTATATATGATTACACAACATGAATATCAATAGAAATTACTTCAAAATTCTCTTACTTAAACATCATTAATCTCCACCAGACACCCATTTACACTCACAACTGAACTTCTGCTTCATTATGAAAGCCTTTAATTTGTCTCAATATCTCCCCCCAATTCGCCAAATCTTAATAAAACTCCTCTTGTCATGTTGGTTGACTAAATGTTACCCAAGTCCAGTCAATGATTCAATAGTAGTAATAGACACAAGTCATACTCACTTAAATGCATCTATAGTTTCGATATTCGCAACATTCATAGTGACTTGCCCAATCCAATGGCCACAATTTACAGTAAGCCAAGAAGCTATTAACATACATAGTAATGATGTGGTGTTGCTGCTTGCTGCTTGCCGCTATGACAATAAACACTAACCGACATTCTAAAACAGTAACTCTATTCTCCTTGAAGGCACAAAAAAGGCCAACACCGCTTCACTTGTCTTTACGAATCCCAAAACTTTTTAACTTTTTCCCTATCCAAGGAGAGAAGATAAACAAAATATTCGCAATATTTTATTTATTAATTATGAAAAAAGATTGAGTAAGTGTGCTATTTTATTTACTGCCAAATGTAACTTCCTAGTTACCATCTTCCTTTTCCTTTCTGTTACTTTGTCTAATTCTCACCAGAGATCATTATTGATGTAAGTTACAACAAAACTGTTCAGAAGTGAGCAGTGGGTAGTTTTTTTTTTTTTTTGGTTATGCACAAGAGTACATTCATGGGAAATGGTATAATACTGTATATTTTACTTTATGGTAAAAGAAAATGTATTGTAGGACAATAATTATGGAAATGGAGCAGGGGGAAAACTCCACTTGTGAAAAACAAGTTATCAATATAGAGGGATACCTATTGTTCTGTTTAACAAAAATAGCTATCGCTTTGTCTTTCAAGTAATTGTTTAATGTTGAGATTGTCCACATCCTAATCAAAATTCTCTTGATTTCATGCATCAATTGTTATCATCCCACTCCATGAGCATTGTCCAAATGCAGACAAATATCGGTACCATCAATGAAGTTTATGTTCATACCCACCAATGAAAATGATCTAAAATAGCCAGTAAAACCAACAAAGAAACGATTTTTGCCATTATTTCAATTACATTACACTTTCCTAGACTGTTTCAAAGCTTCTCTGGCGATGAATAAGATAACAAAGAAAAAAAATGAAAGATCAACTTCACAAGGGCTAATGATAATTTATTTGGAGAAATGAAGAAAAATTCAGTTGCTATACAGAGTTTAGGTAATTTTCCAAGTCCTGGAGCTCTAAAGGGATGGAGTTCAAAGCGTGTAGCACACCCAACAAGCACCAGCAGCAGCAATAGGCACATAAGTGCTGCTGCTTTGACACCATTTTATAGTGGAAAGACATTGCCTTTTAAATGGGAAGATGCAGAGAGGTGGATTTGTAGTCCAGTTTTGGTTACAGTCCTATGAAGACTTCTTCACATTCTCAGTTTCAGAGGCGGCCTAAGTCCAAAAGTGGGCCTATTATGCCTCCTAGCATGGGCCGGTATTCACTTGCTATGCAACTTCTTGATGGTGTTGGTGTAAAGAATTTTATGGCGGCGTCTCCATTTTCGATTGGAGTTTTAGTACCTAATGGGGTTTGTGTTAACTATGGTGTTGATCAGGGTTATTTGGTGCAGAGTGAGGGCCATGTAGCCCGTTGCAGTAGTGTACCTAGTTGGTCAGATTTAGTGAGTGAGAATTCGTTGCCAAGCTCTCAAGGTATAGTATTTCCATTCTTTGTTATTTTTTTATTCTTGCCTTAATTGCTTTGTGAAGTTAGTTCCCCAATGTTATATATTGCACATGAATCTAAAGTATGGATGTTATCATGTATTCTTGTTCTTTATCCCCACAAGAGTTTCTTGTAATTAAGAACATATTTCTAGGGCATCCATTGTCATAATAAAATATCCCCTATCCGATTAGTTGAACCATCTAATATCAATTCAACTTGGCAAGATCATACTCTTGAATTAATTTATAGATCAAATCTGTTTATCTATAAATGTGAGAACTTCGGGTAGATTAGACTAGGTCAGTTGGAAATCTATTAAAGGTTAAGACAACAACAATCCACTTTAGCATCTCCTTTCACGGAGAAACTTCTTTAGGATCTTCTTCACGGAGAAACTTCTTTAGCATCTCCTTCATGAAGAAACTTGTGATCATTGATTTGTAGAGCTTAAGTGTGACTTTTTGACATTAAACTGAAACTTTGTCTTAGACATAAAACTGTTACCTGCAAAGATCAAATTAGAGAAGTCACCCACAGTCAAAATACAGTCTGATATCATAATTATTGTCAAAGCTTTTTGTTCTCCATGATATAGTTAATAAGTTTAGGTTATGGAATGCAAGTCTTTGTAGCTTATTCACATTAATCTATAAATATTTTCTACATAATAGTACCTCGTGTCTCTTAAGTTTTTATATCTCATATGATTAATTGCTTAAAAACTTGAAATTACTATGAAGTGATTCAGTTACTACTGGCTATGAATCATCAATGATAGGACATGTTTATGCAGTGGCACGAAGTTATTTCTCAAAGTTGGTTCTGTCGTAGTAACTTTTGTTACCTCAGTAAGCTAAAACATTTAGTCAGCCAATCTTGCAGGATGGTGGAATTTCAGTCTTACAGATGAAAATTGATCCTTGTGAATTATGATGTAATTACACTTCAAAAGATAAGAGATATGTTAAATGTCAGTGGTGGAAAGTGGTGTTAGAACTCCATTTATCCTGTGTTTAACTAAAAATCTATCCTAGAATGTCCCTCTATCATGTGCAACATATGTTGTTGCAGCACACCTACACGAACTTTGGTCAAACTTTGTTTAATTGTTTTCCTTCCAAAAATGGCTTAGTGTAAATAATACTGTTTTAGTTATGAGTATCAATTGATGAAACTTCTACTTTGATCTTCTGATTTTGCCCACCTGCTTTAATTTTTTGAGTCTAACTTGATAATAATGTTGGATTAAACATACAAATGAGAAGCTTGATGAAATCTTGGATGCCGAAAACACAGTTTCTCATGTGCCTTCACGAAGAGATATGGCTACACAAATGAGTCCTGAGGGAAGTTCCCAGTGATCCCCTACCTCTCCTCATGAACCACAAAGTGATCATCCTGTTAAATTGGAGATTAGGGAAGTGCAGGTAGACAAACGAGCTACCACGATAAGCTGGTCCAAGAAACATGGATCCAGAATGATTAGGAAATGTGTGCCAGATATTGAGGAATTGTACCAAAATCCTTCTGGCCCTTGTGCTTCATCTTGGGATCTTTCTGAGGCAACCACTAACATTTCAAAGTATGCTCTGTTTACCTTCTTTCATGTTGTCTACTCCTTTATGAACAACACTTTATGGTATTATGTATGCATTTGTTTTGTAGCAAAGTTTGACATGTTTATTCAAGCCCAAAATTAGATTAACACCACTGTGCCTTCACTCGTAAAAATAATACGTATCAATATAAAAAGAATAATAGAATTTAGTTTAAGTTATACAATTGTAATAAGACTTCTAAGATGTTCCAAAACATTTCATATTTTTCGTGTTTAGCAACATATTGCACTAGGACTTGGGGTTCAAGTGGTTTGTAATTTAATGAGGCTTGCAGTAGAAAGCCCAAAAGTTTTAGAAATTGCAAATCGTCCTTTTCCAAAGAAATTCTGGTTTCATGTGCAGGTTGCGAAGAGAAGAAGCCAAGATCTCTGCATGGGAGAACTTGCAGAAGGCAAAAGTTGAGGCAGCCATAAGAAAACTTGAGGTTTGTAATAAACTCAACTTCAGCTTGATAATGTATGGATAGGAATATGCAGACATGTATGTGTATGACACTTTATTTTGACAAACAATGAGGTAATTGAAAGGAAAAGCTAGCCAAACCATTTCCGTGATATTCCTTGTTCCTTTTTGACAAATTAACATGGCCTTGAAGTATGTTATGCAATTTTCGCCACTTGTAAATTTTGAAGAATGATAATATAGTTTATCTATTGCTCATTCTAATGTGATAAGGGTTCATAATCCAGAATTGCCAAAGTAAATTATGGTTCATTGAGTACACCGAGGTATAGATGTTAATGTTGTTGGCCTTACTAACTATGTAAGCTTGGTTAAGATGAAACTAGAAAAGAAGAGGTCTCACTCTATGGATAAGATCTTGAACAAGCTAAAAATATCTCAGAGGAAAGCCCAAGAAATGAGAAGCTCAGTGTCGATCACACAGGAACAACAGGTTGCCAAGACTTCTCACAAGGTTAGGTTCTTCCATAAGCATGTCCAGAAGAGTTCGTTCAGGACTTGCTTCACCTGCCATGGTGCCTAGTTTATTGCTCTTTCCTAAAGATTTACCTACCTTTCCGCCTGGTAGCTAGCTCTTATATACCTCTGGTTCCAAATTTTGTATATGCCTACTACTTCTTTCAACTGCTTTATTCATTACATTGTAAATTGTCTTACCAAACTGAGGATTGTGTACTGTAGACAGCCAAATTGGATTTTTAGGAATCATGAGGTTTTGTAATGCAAATACTAAATTCTCGGCTAATGATGAGACTTTAGTTATATATATATAGTTTACAACATTTTATCATGCCCTTCAATCACTTAATGAGTTTTATAAAAATAGACACCCTTTTGCTTGCAGTATTGTTAAAAGAATGTTCCTCAGGAAACAATGATGTTTTCAAGTTGTTGAATTATTTCTTTTGCTTGGTTTGTAAAAAGATGCTCAAGTGGTTGTGGTAGGCTTCTATCAAGAGAAATTCCAAACTTTACATTTGAAATGATTGCGCATGGAGTTAAAAGAAAAACAGTCAATTTGGTGAAGCCAAAAACAAAATAGAGTCATGTCTTATCCTCATTTAAAAGTCGGACCGGACCGGCCGGTCTAATCGGTTTGATCGGGACCTGTGTTGTGTGCTGGTCCGAGCTAATATAAAACCCGTTATTCATTTAAAAGCCGCTTTAACCGTTATCAAATGGATAAACAGTGCGACCCGTCCGATCGAACCGGACCGCTTGGTGAACGGGTCAATGTTTAAAATGAAAAAACCCTAGATTTGATTTATTTTTCACGGACTCCACTTCTCCCCTCTCTTCAATCTCTCAACTCTCCAAAATCGCAACTCCCTTCTCAGATAATACACTCAGTCTCAATTCAATCTCTCAACTCCACTTTCCTTGGACCTTTGCTCAACGACAGCACCACTCCTTTACTGGATTTCGACGATAACACACTCCCTTCTCCCTTGCTCGATGATGGCAAGACCTACCTAGCGGATTTTGGTGATGACGCACTCCCTTCTCCCTTGCTCGACGACGGCAGCACCTCCCTCGCTGGATTTCGGCAGTGATGCACTCCTTCTCCCTTGCTTAACGAAGGCGCATCTCACTGTTGGATTTTGGCGACAATGCACCTCCCTTCTCCCTTGCATGACGACGACGGACGACGATGCCTCCCTCCTTTGTTGGAATCGACGACGACAACACTCTCTTTTGTAAAGAATTTCCATCTTTTTTTTTTTTTTTTTTTAATGAATCTATTGCTTTCATGTGATGGATAATTTGTTCACTGAATTGGATAATTTGACTGCTCATTTTAATTAATGCACCATCCAATGCATTTATGTGAATCAATGACATCCATTCAAATGAATGAACCAGTCAGTTTTTAACTAATTTTCCCTTTTCATTTGGATTAACATTCATTCTACAAGCCATACATATACATACACACAATGTTATCTTGTTGTATTTGTTTTTAGTGTTTTACAAAATTCAAATGCAAACAAAAATTCTGAGAGTTGTAGTGCTGGGTGTGATGTGAGAGAGAAAAGGTTGGTTCTTCATTTGTTTTGAAATTCTTGCAAATTAACCCTTTACATTTAAGTTAACACCAAAGACACCCTTATAATAATATAAAAATATCCTTTATTAGTTTGACGGTTTTTTTAAAAATGTGCTGACATCGTCATGAGTGTGATGATATCACCGGTCCAACCGAGGTCCAACCTGTTAGACCGGTTGAACCGTGACCCGGCCATCAGAGCTGGTTGCCCTTGGTCCGGTTTTTAAAACAATGGTCTTATCACATTCCTTTATTTATTCCTTTTCTCATGCCCAGGATTCCATTATAAGAAAAATGCATTCAATAAACGATATTGTCACACACGCAAGGCATTGAATATCACATAGTTAAATTAAGAGTTAACGACTTTTTCCCACCCAACAAAAAGCTTAATGACATGTCCCACCCTCACACTTTTAAAATACATTTTACTACCCAAATATTATGTTTCTCATAGGTTTAGGTGGGAAAGACAATAATTTATGAAAAAACCCTCTGTGGTCTGCACCTTCCTTTTGCCAGAAAGCAGTCTCTGTGGTTCACGTTTCTTCCTTCTTTGCGGCCAATTTTCGACCGTTTTTCTCACTAAAATTTACCCGAAAGCCACCACTCAAACCTCCTTCATCCCCATTACAAAACCAACCTCCCATCGGTTGCCCTCACTAACCGTTTGCCGCCCTCAACCCACTCTCTCCGCCATGCTACAGTTTTTTTTGCACCCCTTTTCCACTGTTTTTTCTCCTTTCTTGTGCCCCCAACCTACACTTGTTGCTTAATTGTGGTTGTTGTGTATTATTTGGCCACCGGTTTGCCCCCACCCGCCTCCCCATTTTACGCCCACCAGTTGTTTGAGGAAATTCCTCAACCAACCTCTCCAGCCAAGTGTGTGCACACGACAGGGACGATTGGTGGTGACCCGTTAGGACATTTGGAGAGGAAGATCCAAGGAGTCAATTGGTGGTGATAGGGACGATTTCTGATAATGAAATCGACTAGAAAGCACATTGTTGGTTCGCATGATTCTTTCCATTTTTCGACCGATTATGACGTCAGAAATACCTTTTGAGACCACCAATCAACTCACTAGCCCCCCCATCTCCAGAATCCCTAACCTTCCCGACACCAATTGCATGCCGTTCTGACTCTCCACCAGCTAAGGTTTCACTGTTTTTGCGCCAATTCCACTGATTTCGGTGACCAAAATCCAATCTTCCACCACACTTTCAACCTCCGATCTTCCCTCTTCAAACCCCTCGAACATCAATACTTGATTACTCGTCATTCGTTGGTCTTAAATTGCACCCTCCACTGTTCGTTGTCTTCTAGAATTTTAGGCCCCGTTGGTTTACTTTTTGCAGTTTTTAGAAAAGTTTTTTGAAAAAAGTTAAAAAAAGTGAATGAGCGGGTATTACGATGTAGGATTTGAAAATTAATAAAAATACCCCATATGTTTGTTTATTTACTAAACCCCATAATAAAACTTTGAAAGTTAACAAAAAAACCCCAACCCACCCATTGAATAATCCACGCCGGCCACCACCGCCGAAGGGTGGCCGGAGTCACTGTATCGGCGCATGACCGGTTGGATCTTGCCAGTCGTGCGCCGATATGGCCTTTGCCGACCAGATCTAGATGGATCTGGCATGCAAGGCTAGATCTATGGTTAGATCTGGCCATTGATGGTCAGATCTAACCGCATTTGCTTGTCAACGACGACCAGTTCGCTGTCGTTGACGTCTGGTACGGCCAAAGATCTGGCCGTCAGCGGCCAGATCTTGGCCTTAGATCTGACCTTTTCCAGCCAGATCCACTGTGGATCTGGCCGAAAAGGCTAGATCGCGCACTACTGGCCAGATTTAGCCGGTAGTGCGCCATTATATTAGATTTCGGCCAACTTCCGACAATGATGGTTGGAATCTGGTATAATGTGGGTTTAGGGGTGTTTTTACAATTTCAAAAAAAATATTTAGGGGTATTTAATTAAATTAAAAATTTAAGAGGTTTAAAAAGGTTGAATAATATTGGATAATATTGTGAGTTTTTAGGCATTTTACTATTTAACTTTTTAGGAATACTGATATAGATTCCCAAAAACCAACCAAACGGAGCCTAAATTTTGATTTCATATGTAAAATGTTTGTTGACTATTCTACCTCACTTATTACAGACTTTTGACCATTTTACCTTCCTTACAATGAAAATTATTATAAAATTGTGTTTTAGGTACTAAATTGATATTTTAAAAGTGTAAGGGTGGAAAATTGTCATTAAGCTTTGTCGCGTGGGAAAAAGTCATGACCTGTTAAATCGAGCTTCACAAAATTGAGTGCATAAACTAATGACAGGTTTTAACCTTGAATCAAGTGAATGACAGAGACAAGAAGAATACACCGGACCGGACAATTTAATCAAAGATCTATACTTGACCAGTATAAAACGATTTCAATACGACTAGCAAACCCCGACACAGCATGCATCACCATGAATCCATGCCCAGGGCCAAGACCCATCTCGGTGGTCAAGGTTTTTACACAATAAGTCGGGGATCCATAGAGCATCCAGGCAAGGCACCTGTTATAGCAAGAAAGAGGGGTCGAAGAAAACCTCCTCAAGCACAAGGAATACATAGCATCAAATGTTTTTATGCTTTTAGAATCAATAGGAGCGCAAGCTCCGAAGTAAATATTCATAAATTAATTCCTCTCCAAACTATATTTCCATCCAAATTTAACACATAAAGCAGTTTAAAATTTATAAAAATACGAAAGTTCAGATGTTGATACATAAAAATAATTTATACTTATTCTTTAGAAATAAAAAATCAACCAAATAATCATCCTAACAATACAGATTTGTCATTTGACAAAAGCCTCTTTGTTAAAACCAAAGCCTGATTGGAGACAATTAGGCTAGAAATTAGTATGGCCTATATCTCCAATCTCCTCTTGATGGTCTTCCACCGCCAATCCCATAACCCCACTGCAAAATGAATAAATGAATTGGAAAGAATGCTGAATGTCATAATAACAAAATTTGGGTTTTAATAAAATACTCAGGAAGCACCTAATGCCTCATTTTTTCTCTTAAAAGGGCACTCTAGTAATCATGGTTCTTGTCCATCGTGGTATACAAGCTTCATATGATTTCTTTTTATATGAAACCCAGATATATATAAAAGAAGGAACCAATTACCACATCATCAAAATCAAGGTTCCAACATCCTGCCAAAGTCGCATAGGACCACCGTAACCCCCAAAGACTTGAGCACATTAATTAAGAAGTTTTCACTGGGGCCGGGGCCAGCATCATCCAGAGGGTGGCTGAATCTATTGCAACCTGTTCATGCAGTCAATGAATGAAAAAATTTAAAAATTGCCAACAAAATTATCTTTATCTCAGTAGTTAAATACAAAACAAAACTATCCATTTGGTACCTGCTGTCCACAAATTCATGCGACCTTCGAGATACACGATTG